GAATTGAACAACGAATTGAACACGAATAAGTATTCGTGACACAAGACAGATACAAGTATAACACGTTAGCTATATGGTTGTTTGAAGAATTAGCGCCGTTGAAGAGGGGAATACTCAGAAGCGTGCATCCAAACTCGCGAGGAGACGGAAATCCTGCGCGTATCCTGTTGTGAATATTTTGACGGGTACGACTAATTCCTACAAATCCATCTATTATAACTTTCCCGTTTTTCATAAGGCGTAAAACGACCGCGGGCTTTGTCGTTTTTGCTTTCAAAGCATCAGCAGCGATTTCCATGATGTTCGTGTGAGCGAAAGTGTTTTCAACAATTGCGACGCATTCCGTGATTGCGCTAGCCTATGCAAGCTAGTAAATCGCGTTGCACATCCGCAACTTACGGGAAAGCGCTATCGAGAGCTATCCGACATCGCTTTCTCAAGACATGCGATTGCCACAATTACATATCATAACAAGTTGAAGACGTGCCAAAACATAGGGAAAACATTTCGGTAAACGTATATTAGTTGCTAGTAAAAATAAACGACAAACTGGATGGAAATGAGACATTTGCATCTGTCATGTTTGTGCACATTCGTATTTAAATTTTTCCGGCGAATATAGATATAAACATATATGTATATATATATATATATATATATATATATTCCTCTTCTCTGAAAGTAAAAAATGTTCGCGTCTTAATTAACAGAATGAAACACTTGCTCGAATACAAACGTAGAAACCGCTCCGGTTATAGACTGATTCTCAGTCTCGTTGCAATACAACAATACAGACAATACACACAAGAGAGAAATGAATCGAGAAGGGACGGTGCGTTTTAGAGCATCGTTCTTTATCACATACAGACAATTGCGCACTATCCTGTCCTTATTCTGTAACACTATCCACGATGCCATAGAATCTAATACCTGCGCGTCATTCATTTGTCTCCTTTTCCCTAGGGTACACAATAGTTTTTGGGATACGCACAGGTACAAGTTGTAAGAAAGAATAAAGAAATGTACGAAAGAATCCTCCGAAGTTAGTATTGTTAATCCACACAAAACCGATATTTTTTATGACGATCCAGCTATGATACAAACGCGAGAAACGAGCAGAGTACTCCGGATCGCGGACGCTGTTTGTGGATCGGACGCGATGGTTCCCGTAAAACCTAGGTAAAGACCTGCATTCCCTCGACCACACTACCTGCTCTCGCTATAAGACCTTCGTGAACATATGCCGTGTCTGACGAAAGCAGCTCTCAAACAGCTTGCACGTCCCGGCGCGGCGCGACCCATCTGGCCTTAAGTTTCTCGTCGCGTGTAACGTTCGACGGTGCATCTCGTCGTCTTCGTCGGGGCCATTAAATGTACACTACACAGCACCTTCAAGAAGGGCCGTGTCTGTTACACGTCGTCAAAATTTTAATTCGTCAAAGCCACCGAGTAGATAAGACGCTCAAGTTTAGCCACTTTTTTTGCGGCATTCGAACACTTAAATGATTTTTTGATCAAATTGTAGCTGTTTATAAGTAGATTAAAGATGTACAACCATCATACATATCAAAAGTGATGTGCTTCACCATTTAGGAAAAAATCGCTCAGAAAGATACGTATCCTGTCGAAACATCGATGATCGATCGTTGGAATCCTTAAAGATACGCATAAAAAATGTTGCAAGAAATGGAATGAAAGTCTTTATCAATAAAATAAAATATATATTATATGTAAACATTAGTAATATTTATTAATTTAAGCTGACTTTTACCAAGCTCCGACATTAACTTAATCGTCGATTAATCCCGTTCACCCAAAAAAAAGTATTCTATTTGTAAAGTGATTTTTCCCATAGTCTCATATTCTAAGCGAAGACTTTGGCAGAAAAAAGATTCCTCTTTCGATAAAGTGATTAAAGTGAACCATTCATCTAAAATTTATTAGATATTATTCCAACTATTTTCGTCTTATTTCAGGAGGATTTCCTCTTGTATTAATTAATTTTCTTCTTATATGAAAAATACAGTTTATAATCTATTGCGAGAAGTTGAATAATATATTCTTTCTTTAACTATATTTCATACAATTGGTTATGATGAACATATTTGTAGCTATGAAGTCCATAATAAAACTTTTTAGAAATTTATTTGTTACGATAATTTTATTTTATTCGTGCCTACTTATTGTAGAACTGGAGCCGAAATACATCTACATATATATATATATATATATATATATTACTTTTCACTATACATTATCATAATTTTTACAAATTAACTAATATAACCAGTAAGAATTAAATACAGTAAGAATAAATAATAACCCTTTTGGAAAAAAATTAAATAATCTGTGTATAAAAGGAAATTTCTATTAAAATCAATAAGATTTGCATTATACATATAACATCTAATCCCTCGAACTTTAAGAATAATGTGTATAATATTTTCCTCTTAATCTTGGAGGAATTCTCTTGAGGCCTATATAAGAATATATAAGAATAAAATCCTCTAAAATTGAGATGATTCCGCTTGTTCTGAAATTACTTTCTTTGAGTGTTGTAACTAGCACAATTGGCCAATAGCTATTTGCCGGTCACAACGGAATTAACCGACGATTAAAATAATCGGAGCTTAGTAAAAGTCACCCTTGGTGCATCTATAGCCGGTTTGTTACAACATTTCCCGTATTTCCCGTAAGAGTGCAAACAATACTGTTTATTTCAACATACACAGAATACGTATCTCTTTCGGTTATTTTCTCCTAAATAATGAGGAGCGTCACTCTGATACTTATATATATTTAACCCATCAATAGCTACAGTTTTATAAAAAAATAATTGAGGACTTCGAATGCCACAAAATGGAACTTGTGAGAGCTTAACCACTCTCTCTACCAATCGCCTTACTTTTTTGATACCACACGGAGTGTACAAGCGCGCAAAGTACCGACAAAGTTAACAATACCAATCTAACGACAGCAATCGATTTAGCAGCAAGTAGGCGATATATCGACAACTCGAGCAACTTGCATACGTACACAAACATGTACGTGAATCGGGAGGAAGGTTATATTTTCGTTTGGAGCAGAAAAAAGCTAGACAAAACGAACAAACGAACGAAAGAACAACGTGACGTGAAGTTGCTGTGAGAGACACCAAAATACAGCCGTAGAGGTTTCGGGATTGTGATAGATGTGATAATGCTGCGTTGCATTAGAGAAAAGAAGGAAGAAAGAGCAACGTTGTTTATCGCGACGACGATATCATATTTCTCGCGGTAGATGGCCGGATGGGCGCACCATGAATCGCCCATATAGCCTCTGACAAAGGAAAGAAAGAGGAAGCCGAGAGGAAAAGATGGAGACAAGGACGGAGATATATTAAGTATACACAGTGTCGCGTATTGTAGGTATGCGCTTTAAAAAGGCTACGACGTATTGGAATTCGTGAATAACGGAATTATATGAACGCATGGACCTTATTTATATAAAAGTGATATAAACTATTCCAAAAAGAGAGACTTACACGCAAATACAAAAAGAAATAGAAAGAAATACAAAGTTGAGTAATTTTACGATCAATTGAGTGTATATATAAGGAGTAATCGAAATTACTGCTAATTTGCGAATTAATATTCATGATATCAGAAGTCTACCAGAGAAGTCTTTTCTCTCGTCGGATGCATTCATCTCGTTAAATATTACAATTTTTATTTCGATACAACAATGTGTACCTTTTTCTTACTTTCTTTTTAAACGTACAATTGTAATTTAATAAGAATCAAGCTATTCGATAAAGTGAGATATCTTTAGTACGTCATCTATGTAACATTACACTTTGAGAATTAATATATTACATATTGCAGTGTCCCTTTGAGAATTTACACGAACGTTTAATTACGTAAATGTGCGCGCGCGCGCACTGTACAATTGAAATTATATTCAAAGCAGAGTACCGAGTAGATATAAAATTGAAAGTAGAAACAAAAGATCAGTTTGTTAAACGGTTTGCGATTGATTAACTAATATTTATGAAGATGGTTTGTACTTGTTAATCCTTAATCATTCAACGAGCTATCGCAATGACGTAGCTCTGCTTAGAACATTTACCATTATCACATAAACCATAGGTGATAATACAAATGCGAACGACGAATGTTCGTATGATCGTTGTCGGTGTAAGTCAATTCCACGACCGACTCACTTATCCTATTTATTTATCACCCATAACGAGGAACACACTAATGCGACTCCAAGAACGATATGCTGCGTGTAGTTTGAATTTGCGCGTCCAATGGCGTCTCGATGGCGATTCTCATTCTCCTTTTACATCAGGGATTAAGTGAATAAAATTTACATAGTGTTTACTCTCTATACGGCAGTTCTTTTCATCCTAGATCGTAGTTAACCGTGAGACAGCATCGTCGATAAATGGAACATGATAAAGGATTTGATTTTCAAAAGGATAAACAGTAATAGTAAGATGATACTTGTCACTCGTCAAAATGGACTTTCCTTTTACAGATCTTTGATTTGATGCGTAAATATTTAAGCGATCAACCGCAGACAAAATTTGAAAAATTACAGATGTTATGATATGAGAAATGTAAAAACTTTGACGTACTTACACGCGCGCGCACATGAATTTTCACTACAAGGAAAAGAAATGCATACATGTATATATGCACGTATGCCGAACTTTGGAACACTCTGTATAATATATGGATAAGCTCATTGTCCATCGAGAGAAACGCGATATACTATAGGCACTCAATTCACAATTAATCTTGCATGCCAGTGAGAAAAAAGAAATTTGACTAGTACGATGCTGAGAAAGAGCAAAATGTCTAAAGAAAATTTGTCAGGAATCCTATGTTAACCGCAATTAACTCTGTTGTTGATGGTGGAGATACGTAAAACGGCATTATATTATATCACTGTCACGCACGATGAAACACGAAGACTATTTTCCCGTGTTTATGACAACGAAAATTTGAACTTAC